GAGGGATGATTATCATGCTGATCTTACCACCATCATGCCATGAGGCAACTCCAGAGATGTACATTCTGGGGCCTAGGGTATTACATGGTCAACACAGCTATGGAAGAGGAAGGAAGAAGATGGCGAGGATCACCGCACCACACCCAACAACCACAACGTTAACGATGTTGTGGCCTGCTTCATGACTGTGATGACATGGAGTCGTCATTTTCACAAGTGCACTGGTTTCATGATGGCCATGTGCATCATCAGGTGTAGTAAAGTTTCCTACGATAAGCATGAGCATCGTCATCATCCTCATCTCATGCTTTCCCACGCACGAACGAAATGCCTACCGGACCATGATACGACCTCAAATGCTTCAGGATGGATATCATCCCGAATAGCACAGTATGGACGAATAATGTAGGCCATGGGGATGGTTCCCGCAGCCACTACAGCTGGCCAGTAGTTCAGAATACGCAGCCCCATTCCTCTAGTTTCCCAAAGTCCCGCACGCTAGTCAAGTGAACTCGGTCCATGCACCTGTGGACCCCTCCGTGGTCTAACCAATTAATCTAACTCGCGTACCTCCAAAGAATCTTAGTCTACACCGCACAGGAGTTTCAGCTAGCACATCAGTACTTTCCCAAAAGAGCAGACAACCAGTACCACCTCTGCACCTCGTCTCTGTCCAGCCGGTCCCTGTACAGATACGTGTCAGAGGGCCTGTGAACACACAGGTAACAGCCTGCCATCACAATTTCCTCCCCTTTCTGATGACGCTTGCACTAGAATCTACCTCCTCGACTCCTCTGGAAGGACCTAGGGACTGCTACTGTCCAGATGGTCCCTGTACAGATACCTGTCAGAGGGACTGTGAACACACGATACATCGGCAGTTATTTCGACAGCTTTTTTATTCAGCCTGCCTTCACAATTCCCTCCACTTTTTAGCGATGCTTGTGCTAGAATCTGCCTGGATGTTCGGACAGCACAGAGCACAATGTTAAACAAGATCAGATGCCTTACTTGTGCTGTCTGACAGAGGAATTGGAGCAAAGAACGCACAGCATGGCGGCATAGCACAAACTTCGCTACGTTGACCTTGGTATCCTCCTCGTTCGATAAAGATGGAAGTCCGATTTAAACAGCCAGGTACGGCATCACATCTGACACCTAAGAAAGGTACTGCCCAACTGTGAAGTACATCAGCAGATGTTGAGTTTTGGTTAGTCAACCTGCAGTCTAAGACTTCAGACTGAGACTCGTGTCTCCCTCACCTTACACCAGATGATCCTCCACGTACTATTTTTGACCAACTACCTTCCTTGAGCGAACACTGTTTCCTCCATACCCAATCACTCTTAATATTACTGTGTGGGACCCCGTTGGAAAGCATTCGCTCACACACACCCTCATAAATAAACAGATTCCCAGAAGTTCAAAACCTCTCCAGAAAACAGCCTCTGTACGAACACCAATACAGAGACATCTACAGGCAATACATATGCAGCCCAATCCAATGGCTTCCATTCGGCCACATCTCCACTTCCAACATCACCAACACAACCGAGTACCGCACAAACTACTACAACAAAGAGCATCAA